GCGTACTCAGATTTTTTACAAATCGCACAGTTTTTCCGATATTACATAAACATAGGTTTTTTTAAATAGAATACCCTGTATTTGGCCGTCCCGTTGAATAGCATTTTTTTTACCTTTTCAGCCATATATAATAATAGATACTTTTTATTTGCCTAAATGAAGAAAAATGTAAAAAATGATATTTTTTCAGTTGGCCATGTTATTATTTATTCGTCTTTTGTTGTTTAATATTGACAGTTAGTTTATTTTTGACTGATTGAAAGCTTGTTAAACGTCTATTACTTGGTTTTAATTTTGAAAAGTATAAAAATGGTGTACGAAAATCTTCACAAAGTTCAAATGTTGAGGTGTCACATTGAAAGTGAAAAAAATAGTGACACAGCTTTAAACTAATATTTGGAGAGATACTCAGATCGTCATCAGCCAGAAAAGAGAATTTTTAGCCGACTCTATGATAACTTGTGTGAGTTTGGTTCTTTTCAAAAACCGAGAGCTAAATCTTATATTATACAGAATAGAGAAAATGAAAAAATCAATACTATAGCTTTTGTTGTCGCAAATCCCAATGTATCCAGCAGAGAAATTCAAAGGACGATAGGAATTGGTAAATTCAAAACAATGAGAATTTAAAAAAAAAACACAAGTTTGGACCATATACTATAAGGAAAGTCCACCATTTGCATCCAGGAGATGAAGAGAGACGCGTCATTTTCTGCCAATGGTTTTTGCATCAAACTCATGTAGACCCCAACTTTTTTCAAAATGTTATTTGGACCGACGAGGCTTTTATAAGCAGCGAAGGTATATTCAACCGGCAAAATGCGCGTTATTGGTCAGATGTGAATCCTCACCAAACTGTGGCCAGAATTCATCAAGGGCGGTTTGGTTTTCATGTATGGGTAGCTCTCTTCCACAATAGAGTGTTAGAGCACTTGCTGTGACTTTGTTATGCTATTTTTCTTTTATTGTTTCTCTCATTTTATAGTTGTTAGTTTTGTTTAGTTTATGTTTAATAGTTATAAGTGTACCTATAATTAAACCTATTAAGTAAAGATAAATGGATAATATAATTTATTTAATCCTGTAATTTTTTAGTGTAAGTTAGGTGCTTAATATAAAAATAATAATAGAAAACGAAGAGACCAATACTAAATAAATCTCATGGGCAACTGAAAAAATATCTATACGTACATTTTTTACATTTAGGCAAATAAAAAGTATCTATTATTATATATGGCTGAAAAAATTAAAAAATGCTATTCAACGAGATGGCCAAATGGTGTTCTATTTAAAAAAACCTAGGTTTATGTAATATCGGAAAATCTGTGCGATTTGTAAAAAATCTGAGTACGCCACTGGCTTCCTAATAAAAAATAGAACAAATAACGTGCACACTTTTTTCATCTAAATTGAATGACAACGGATATAGAGAGGTTAATGTAAATGGGCCATTTTTCAAAAAAAAAACTGTATATCTAAAACTAATCAAGTTAACCAAGACCTTTTGGTACCAGCGAAGTAAACTAAAAAAAAGAGGACAGTACATCGATATCAGATTTTTTGTATCTATCACTGTTTTGGCTGTACCCTATAAAACTATCGAAAATCAACCACCCTGTACATAATATTTAGCATCTATAGTGATAAATTCAGCTTGCCGAAACAAAAAGTCGCGTCAAACTCTATATTTCCTGACCTAATCATGTCAATGATTATTTTGGACTTTTATTGATTACATTGTAGGTACTTAAAATTGTACAACAAAAACACATATAATTTTTTTTGTAAAATGAAGAGGCTTAGAGTTATTTTTTATGTATAGAAGGATATAGTAGTAAAAATGAATATTGTGATATACTTCTAAAATTAGAGGCCTGTATAGGGATCTAAGTAAGTATAAGAATGGGTTTCTATTGAAATATTTATTATATATTTATCTTTTATTTTTATCAGAAAATATGTTTTCAAATTTACTATTAGTACTATAAATACTCTTCAGTATAATACAATTTTATATACCTACAATGAAATTAAAGGTCCCAAAAATTTATTGGCTTAGAAATTTACCCCTTTAACTTTAAAAAAATTCAATATTTCTGTGCTGTGATTATTTTAGATGTTTATGATATACCTGCATCCTATTACACTGTGTGATACATTATGTTTAAAATTTTACAACAAAAAATATATATATAATATTTTTTTTGTGAAATGAATAGGTTTTGGGTTATTTTTGATTTATTTAGTAAACTTATTTTGATAAATGAAATTTTTTCGAATAAAATGGAATAGATCTTTTTTCTTTGAAATGCAGCCAGGGCACCGAACTTCTAGAGTTCTTATTGACGACTTCCCCCATTATCTCCTCACACAGTGTTAATGTAATTATAATTGTATTCAGTGAATCTTCATCTTTACTTAGTTTCGAGATGTTTTCTGCAAACAATATCCCATGTCTGATGAGATATTTTTTGTTTGGTCTAACTAACTACTACTCACCCTGTTTATTGTAAATAATATAAATTATATCAACATTATTTTTCTTTACTATATTATGAGGCAGGCTTCTACAGATTCAAATTTTACTTGAGGATTGAAAGCTAAAGGGTATAAAATTTTAACTTTCCAATTTAGGAAATAAAATTATTATGTTCTGACAGTTTTCAAATTATTTGATCAAGTCATGTGGTTATTGAATCTAGTCAAGCGGTGAATATTAAAAAAAAATCACTTTACACTTAAGCTAAGTAAAAGTAAACGCTACTTGACATTATGATACGAATTCCTAGTTATAATTACATTAAGTATCTTTTTAGCAATAGTCCAGTCGAATTAGATCATGAACCCTGAAAACTTAAAAAAATTATTGGTAGACATTTTGTTGCACCTTATGACGGTGGAGGAAGGGCATGCAGAATGATAATCAGTTCTATTTAATGCAAAAAGAGCGAATTCCCTAGCGGCTTTTGCCTGAATGGAACAATTTATTTATAACGCTATTTTGCTAATCCTACTTTGTTAATTGTAAAGAGAGCAAGTTAATTTCAACTTCTTGAAATTGTTCATTTTCGATACGTTTCTTTAGATCAATTAGAACCTATATCTACGATATTAAATTCTAAAATTAACGTTTAATAATTAAACAATTAGTTGCAAAAAAAACATGTTGGTCATCACAACATCCATCGTTTTCTGCAATAATAATGCGCAATTTTCGAAAAGTGATTTTTTCGCGTTCGACCTTTATTTTACAGTTAACAAATTGGTGAAATATGGCTTAAATTATAGGTAATTAAATTGCCTACAACATAAAATAACTAATTTTCTTATATATCGCTTAAATTTTCTATGGACAGTAAAAAAGTGGAAAAATAACGTAATATTGCCTATGATTTGCAATTTGCGTCACTTCTTTCGAGTTAGTTTTTTGATATTATCATTATCACATACCCTTCATAAAAATAAATACAATAAAATGTTTACTAATAATTTTTTTACGTTCAAACTTCAATTGGAATGGACTACAACTGAACTAGTTGAAATTAAATTACATGTGTATACTTTTAGGTACTGTAATGAAAAATAACGACATTTTATATAATTTAATTAAAAAAAACAATAAATATGTACAAATTAAAATAAATCTATGTTAATTTATATAACCTAATATTTGGACCAAAAGAAACCTTTTTAGCATACATCACAGTAAAATAAAATAAAATAAAATAAATAATATTATTAAAAATATGCAAATTGTATTGTTTTGTAATATGATCACATTGCATAAAGTAAAAATGAAGAAAAACATGATAAAAGATATAACTGAAGAGTAAACATTTCTAAAGATATCGTTATATAATTTATCATAAGATTTGACGTTCTGTATACAAGAATGTGCACTTTTAAACGATATCATCAAAAATACAGGTGTGCTATTTAAAAGAAATATCGATTATGTCACATCATGGAATGTTGAAAAATGAAATAAAGGCAAGTAATTACTTTATAAATTAACCTTAAAACAATGTTGTGAAAATTATTTCAACGTTCATATGCACATTCTACAATAGATACATTTTATAAGATATGTGCTGCTCAATTTTTGTAGCCATTTGACATTAACCGATTTTAATAACTTTTTCATTAACAACATTGTAAAGTCTTTGAGTCATTACTCTGCATTGGAACCTCATTTTTTCTCTAATTTTATCAGGAACTACCATAATAGTCGTTGTAGTATTACCAACAAAGAAAATGAAAAATAGAACACTTGAAACTATCACATGCCAAGTTGCCTTAGGGTGATAACTAAGATTATATAAAACAAGAGCATTTACGAGTTGGAAAGTGTATCCAATAAACAAAAATGGAAGTAAGAAGGTAAGACCTCTCCACATCCAGGAATGAAATCCTTCGATAGTAATGTCCATGTTGTCTCTTTCCCCAAGAGCTTTCAGCCTGTAGAGCGCTCCTCGTTGATACTTAAACTGCAAGTACTGTATGAAACAGTTGTAAATATTGTACCACAGAAATTGTTGTTTGAATTCTGACCAAGTTTCACTTTCTGGCCATACTAATAAAACTCCAGAGCACACTGTTGATAAAATGTGATGCATTCTCCACCATCCTTTGATTCTGGAACCATTTGCTTTTAAAATACTTTCTCTAATCGATATTGTGCAATAATACCACACTAAGAAAGCTAGATATAATAACTGCAGTGGTCTAAAGTCAAAATAAAAGTTGATTATTGTTAATCCAAACGCTATGAAGTGATTAATTAATTTAAATTTTTCAAATTCGTCTTTATATCGAAATTTACCTTCTTTGTTTAAAAAAGAAACGTCAATATTTCCTAACACTATTTTTAAATATGCTCCACTTTGCTTTGGCAGAGATTGTTCTATGAGTTGCAGTTCAGCTTCACGTTTCATGATATCGTTCTCCAAGTTCCTCAAAGCATCTTTGTTGGTACTCTGTTGTAAGTGTTTGATAGTTTTGTTCATTATGTTTAATCTGTATCTTTGGTGTTTTAAATGCTTTAAACATGTTTGTTGCAAATTGCTGATTTCCTTCAACTTCCTTAAATAAGTGTCATTTACGGTCTCTAATTGCTTGTAATCTTTTGCGAGTTCTTCCCATTCTTCAATTAAGTCTCCCATATTGCACGCACCACTTACTTTCACTTAAACGTACACTGGAACTGGCATCGCTTATTGAACTGTCGACTAAACTACGGATAATGATTAGATAACAATTCGACACTTCAAACTTTGTACCAGTCCACCTTTAATTTCATTATGTTCAATTATAACTAGTTTTAAGGTCAAGCGAAACAATAAAATAATGATTACAATTTTGTAGGTAATAAACATCCATCAAAATTAATAAGAAATATAGATATTCGATAATAAATACAATAAATTAAATTTAAGGCTTACGGTGAAGGCAAGATATTTTTCGCTCATAACTTCGCAACAGAACATTATAAAAATATGCATTTTTTAACGTACTAAACTATTTTTGCTTAGACACTGTTTTTTGAAGTTTGGAAAGAGTGCAAAATTGAATTTTTAATTCAATTTTGCACTCTTTCCTTCTTAATTTTTAAGATTCTGCCAATGTAATATAATTTGTTAGCTGAGTGTCATTATAATAATTTATTATCTTATCTTATCGTAGTATGTCAAAAAAACATAATATGCAAAAGAATTAGTTGCATTTTTCTAAAAATTTATGAACAAAATGTATTTTGTTTTTTAAGCATGATTTTGTTTTTCCAATTCTATTTTGTGCAAAGCCGTACTTATCTTATCAACTTCGACGTCACCTGTTACATGGGTGTTGTATAATAATGAAAATATTAACGGTCGGTAGAAGGAACCTCAAAAAAGAAAACGCCTAGGTGGGGCAATTCTGGAAGGAATCCAGGAGAGTTGAAGATAGGGAGTTGAAGTGAGAACAGTGTGCAGATGGGTAATAAGACGATCGGCGGGTAGTGTGACAAAGTAGTGGAAAATTAAGTGATTAACCGGTATTAGTTAGCAGGTTCTTTAAGTACTTTGTTGTTAATTGTTCTATATAATCTTATGATTGTGATGGTTATAGATGTTTCATGATAATAATTCTTTGTATGTTAGCTTTCATTGTCTTACGCTCAGGGGCGTATATTTTTCTAATATAAAATTGTTACAATTACTATTAAAGAATGCTCATTATTTATTACATGTTAAAATATGTATATGTTCGTGACTGCCCAGATATTGCATTAACAACTTCTTTGTTTCACGTTTAACTTGTTTTTATCATGATTACGTTGTTCTTTGATTTCTTGTGCTCACTTTATGTCAAGACGCATATAAGGGCCTTGTTGAATTCACTAACATTTTCGCCCGTGAGGAACGAATCTGAAAAAAAAGAATAATTAAATACAAAAAAAGAATTGCTAACAGATCTCCCGAAATCTCAACTATAGCTGGATTGCTTCCCGCCTGGACTCCAGTACCTTCCGGCCCTGCCGGCTAACACCAAACCTCTTCAGTTTTACTTAGAAGTGTGTATGACTAATATGAGTGAAATGACATTTAGTGACACATTAAATGGGACAAGTCTTAATTATCATTAGCAAAGGATCTTAATTTATGTTTTTGGTTAGCGGTTGTTTTGTATTTATATTTGGGTGGTAAGAGCAACGATCGTGGGTTTCTCTGCCATGCTCTTTCCCCGCAGGAGCTCTAGATGAGCCTGGCACTCTCATTTTATGTTAAAAGGTTGTTAATGTTTTTGTTGTTCTTTATATTTGTCACATGTATAATTTGAAGACTGTTTTATGTAAATAATAAAGTTAGGTGTATTTACTTTGTCTTTGTTTTATAAAATTAAACCATACATCCCCTCAAAAAAAGTTAGTAGCAAGCGCCTTTCGGTCAATTGAAAAAAGTAGATACACACAACGTAGGTATTCCTTACGACGATCACATATTTTGGCCACAATTACGTTTACTTATTTTTTGTCGATCAAACCTGGGGTTGTTATACTACAATTTTCACTATACACACAAAGAATTAATTGGTCAGTCAAGTTTGATCTTTGATTCCATTAACCAAATTCTTTGGTCATATTTGAACAACAAAATAAATGTTTCAACTAATTGATTATGACTGTTGTACTATACAGGGTGTAAATAAATAAGAGTGAAAAAATTCAGGGGGTGATTCCCTGTGGAAAAATAAGTTTCTAATTTTTTTCCGAAATACCAAAAAAGTTAAGAAATCAAATTAAGTAGACATTTTCTGCTATCGAGAAGGCAGTCAGTAAATAATTTGTTGATTTTCCCCTACGGTTATGACTTGTTTCATACATAACTTTTTTCTTATTAGTACCTTACAATTTAAGAATCCATTCTAAACAAAGAAGGTCTCTTGTCTTTTTTCGTAAAATTAACGATTTCTGAGCAAAAAAATTATTTTAAATCAATTTAGAAATTTTAGGGTAGAAATTTTATCGAACTGTAATTTATCTGGTAAGCGACTGTCATGTTAACATTTTGTAATGGCAACTTAATTGTTGTTAATAAGGTTGCAGTTATTGTTATTTGCTGATACACTGTTATCATTTTGAGAACTTTTTGTGCAAATTCATCAAGAGGGGTATTCTCTAATGTAAAAATCACCGATATGCATTTCGTTTACGGTCTTGTTAATGATAATTCCTTAGAAGCGTCTGGATCTAGAAGATATGCTGAAATGTATCCTCAACGCGCGGTTCCTCCTTGTTTGCCAGGCTTTATCAACGACAAGAAAATATGATTGTGGTCACCAACGTGAGGTCAGAATACTAGCATTGGATGAAGTAGTGCTTAATTTAATCGACTAGCAACGAGACATCAGTACTAGAAAAATTGCTTTGCAGTCACATATTTAGGCAACACGCAACAAATTGTCATAGTTCAAATTGTACAGACCGAATCTGACCCTTGTGTACCATTTACATAGATACTATAAAAATGAACAATTTTAAATTAATTTATTTTTACAAGGATTTGGAAGTATTTAAGAACAACCAATACGTGTTTCGTAAAATAGATACCTACACTAATGTGTTTAAAACTTACAAAAAACGATATAAAAGAATATTCCTAAATTTAAATAAAGTAAAAATTTAACATTAGTCGTGTGCTCATGCTCGGTGAGAATAGTCTCATAAGCAGGTGAGATCTTGTTGAAATGTTATCACTGTCATCATTAGCGTATTTTCTCTTGTTTTGTTTAATCTGTACTGTATCAGTGTGTTTATCGAGTGTTTTTTTCTTCAAGTGGTTTATTCTAGACGTACTTTTATCCACATCCAAACTTTTCTTGAATGAAATCCTGTTGCGAGGCTACTTCGCTTACATGAAATTATCTTTAATGCGCATGCTCATTAGCATTGATATAATTTTAATTTAATAATTACTTCAATATTGTTCTATATATTTAAATATATAAATTCTATAATTCTATTAGTATTAGAAGCCATTTTTTTGGCACTTATGTCCAAAGTACATATGGTCGAAATTCGATCTAGTAAAAATATTGAGAAATTCTTCATGACTACTAAAAAGGTCTATACCCGAGGTAGAAAGACATTAGCGGAAAATCTCAAGGCACGCCTCTACCGCGGTAAATTATTACAGTAGTTCCGATAATTTTCTTAGAATTCAATCTCAACAAATATTCTACGGACTGTATAAGTCCATTCGGAATTTTTCGAACCGTCTTGCTTTTTCGATTTGGAAGTTGGAAATTATTGTATAAAATCCTAATTTTGTGGAGCAGGTTTTATTCACGGACGAGCCTAATTGTTCTTAAAAGGCGATTATTAATTACACAGGCCGACAAAAAAAAATTTTTTTTTCTTTAGATCAGACCTATCATTTATTGTAGATTTTGATGTGCTAAAACCAAATTTAAAGTATAAAAAACATTTCATCGTTTAAATTTTTTGTAATCGCAGGGACAAGTCTCTTCTACACTGAAAGAAATGCGTTTTATTCGTTATTAGAATTCTATATACCATTATAAGACCATTGTATTCTATATGTGACAGTTAAACAGGTGAATATTGGATATAAAACGCGTATTGCTAGCACAGTTGTATAGTGACTATAAACCTTATTCTTTATTAAATTATTGTATAACTAGTATACAACGTTTTTTATACCCTTTACGAAATAATAGCAATAACTGTTATTAAAGTGTTCCATATCGTTATTAGAACATCTAGTACTGGTTATAAGTTTTATAATAATAAATGTATTAAACTGTTGTATACTCTGTATGAGTTAAAAACATATGTCATTAAGTTTTCAGAAATTTTATTGGATAACTGTAATTACAAGCTAAGGTTCTAATGTAAACATACATAAAACATACTTTTAAGCATTAAAAATGATGACAAATCGCTCCCAAAACTGTCCAGTTTATTTTCTTAGCAACGATGCACCCGTATTTTCTTGTATTACATGAGAATTTGCACTATAACTCTTCCACCTTAAGAATGAAGCATCCCCAGAAAGGTTGAGCTTCTTTCCATATAATTTTATTTCCTCTGGTTGATTGACTTTATACCCATGCTCTTCTTTGTCACCGTTAACCTTCTGTTCCTCCATCTTATGTAAAACTTAACATCAGCGATTTCTAATAGGACCTACAAAATAATAATTTTTAAGATTTAGACAAGATTTACATTTGAAAAAACAAAACAATTACAAGCCATAAAACAGTTAGATACTTACATAATAATTTTCCATTTCACACAACGCGATATGATCATGTATCCCACAAAACATGTGCATATACTGTCCATTTTCATCAAACTAGACGTGTGTAAGTCGATGCACAGCGGACTGTCGGAAATTTTACGATTGTTGTATTTTCTCTTCTTGAGTAAAGATAATAAAGACGTTGTGGTTTTGTGTGTTTATTTTGACAATGATTGAACATGTATGGACAATAAAAGTGGACTGTATAAGATAGTTGAGTACCGTTCTGCTTCATGCATAGCATGCTACTGAAATCTTAGAAGGGATGAGCTCGTGCGGCGAACCCTAAATCAGCGGCTGGAATAGCCAGGTTTCTTATTGAGTCGGCGCACTTCGCTCTCGGGTCTGACATATGATTATTATTACAAGACTATGAATATAACTTAACAACGATCATAACCGATTATGCACCGAGAGGTGACGATCACTTAACCATTATAAGATGCGTTTTACACGTTAAAAACGGAAACATATTCAG